TGTAACATGATAAACACATAGTATGTATTGCTTCTCAAAGAAATTAAATACATTGTAATTTGTTGTATTTTTCTTTAAGCATCATTTCATATTGTAACTTTTGTAATATTTAACAAAAATCAATATTTTGAAAATTCACCCCCTATTATTTTTCTGTTTATGTAAATGGAAAAAAAAAAAAATCTCAATTCAGGTATTAACTATGGCCACTTCATTTTCAGGTTTTAAGTTTCAAAATTCAAAACTCATGTGATAAATAAATAATTAAATATATCTTATTAATTAAATATATTGAAGTCACAATTATATATTTAATAGTCACAGGTACATCCTTATAGGTCACAAACCATTTATTGATCATATATTATCAAATTAACTAGTCACAGGCCACACATCAAAAAAATTATAAGTCCAAGTTTATTTCATCAGTCACAGATTAAAAAATTTATATGTCATAATTTATTTGTTGGTTACAAATTATAAAATTAATTGGTCACTGATTTTTTTTTTCATTCACAAATTATCGAATTTTTCGGTCATAATTAAATAGTTGATCACAAATTAACCAAAAACTTTGTCACAAACACCATCACAACAATATTTGGTCACAAACCAACTAACCTATTCCACACCACTAGATCCAAACGTCGTCGCTGCACTGAAAAAACCAAATTCAAAATACTGCAAATCAGAATACCACCAACCAAAAACCATCAACAAACCACACTACACCACCTCAACCATCACCACAACCACCACCGATGCTAGCACCACTAGAACCACCACCGATGCTAGCACCATGATCAAGACCACCAGCACCATCATCTTACAATCATCATCACTACCAACATTATCACCACTCTCACCACCACAACCAACCAACAACCACCTTAGAACTCTGAATTAGAAGAGAGAGAAACCACTCCCAAAAATCATCTCAAAACCATGGCCGCCATCCTTTACGATAACAATCAACACAAACTACAGATCGCCCACTGTACGTCCACATTTTGTGCTGCAGTCGTCGCCGTCGAATAGCGACCATCATCACTAAATCCTCTCATTGCATCATTCTTGAAGTCATCACTACACAACGGCGTCAAGAGCAAGTTGTTTTGAACTGCATTGCACCACTCATCAGTGTTACGTGGACGATGCTCGGTGATATATTTGATGAAGAGAAAGAGACGAAAAAAAGTGGAGTAGAGGCATCGAAGAAGCGATTGTTGGGAATGGAAGCATCGGAGTTATTGGAGAAGTGGTTGTTCAACATAGGATATAGCATCCTCGAGCGATATTGCTCTTAGGTTGCCGCATGCAGTGGCAGTGGGACGATGCGAGTAGAGAAGAAGCGGTACTCACACTTGTGAGCAATGAAAAGAAAAAAAAATGGTGGAGAGAGCCGTCACAGCCGTTGCATTGTAAAGAAGAAGAAAAATATAGAGAGACGAAGAAAAATCACCGTTGATGAAGATACGATGGGAATTAATTTAAGGTTTGGATAGTGGATGTGAGGGTGGGACGGTTGGGGATGGGTAGATTTTATAAAAGTATTATTAATATAAATTATTAAATAAATACCCGATTTGTGAACAAATAAACTTTATAATTGATTTATGAATAGTAATCTTTAAACGCTTATTGGCATGTAATTTCCACTTGTAAATTGCGGCCTAATATGCTGGAAGGAGATGGCAATCTGTTTCTACTTAGAAAGGCCCATGAACATTTTGGCCCAAAGAAACTGGGCGTGGCCCAATCTATCAAATTTCACTTTTGTATTTGCGGCTACTTCCGTTATACACAAGCCTTCCATTAATGAATTTCAAGATTTCCAAAATAAGCTTTAAAAAGAAAAAAATCTAAATTTCTATGCAATAAACTTTATACTTGCAAATATATCTATATATACCCGTAATTTATAGTGGTGAAACAAATTGGATTAAATTTTAGAGAAATGGGTCAGGCGTTTCGTCGAGCAACTGGAAGGATCGGCAGCTCAGGAGTTGATACGCCGCCGTCTGCGTCGTCGAGGCTCAAGAAGCCCATTTTCCAGAACCCACCGGCGGTTCCCGTTAACAAAGTTCCCAGGAATGACGTTGATTCTGGTAAAAAAAATTTACATTAATTTCCAGAAAAAAATAAATTTTCTTTATTTATTCATTTTGATGCTAAGTAAAGTTGGAATGTTCCCCAGAATTCTTAAAATTTAATTTTTGTTTCTTTTATTTTTTCGTTGATGCTAAGTAAGTTGAAAGGTACGTTTGAATTCTTAATTTGTTCTCAGCTTCTCTCAAATTTTTGGGCGATGTTGCTTGTATTTGTGTTATTAATTATTATTCATGTGTAGTGTAAAAAATTATACTGAAGAGCAATTCATACTGGTTTGGCCCACAATTGGAATAGGTGATAATCGTGATCTGAACGAGTAGGGGTGGCCTTTCTATCAGCTTAAGCTGTGGTTAACTTGGTATCAGAGCTTAAAAAGGTTGAATGAGCAATTTGATCTTCTAAAGCTCAAAGCATCAAACGAACTCTTTTTATGAGTGTCCTTTTTTTCTTTTTTTGTTTAACTTGCATTTAATTCATTGTGTATAAAACAATATAGTCGATGTTCACTCTGTCTCAGCAATTAACCTAGAGATGTTTAGATACTGTTGCAAAAAGCATAAATTCTGAGGCATTTGTGAATGAGGAATGTAGACCGAATTTTTGTTTCTGGTGGAAATTTTATCTTTTTTGTTTTCTCATAATAACGTAGAGGATGCAGCAAGAGTGAACGCAGAAAATGTTCTTGAAGAGCGCGATTCCGGATATGATGCTATGCTTAGTCAAATGGTGGGTAGAATTCAATCAAAGCCTGGAGGAAAGCTTGAGATGGGTGAGGTGAGTTTTTCAAGGGGTTGCTGATAAAGTTTTTAATATTTCATAAATTTCATAAACAAATATTGTGATAAATCTGCAATGCTATTTCCTTGATAACGTAAAATGTTTTACTTCAATTTGTAGTTCTCTTCTTTAAATTGAATTGTGAGAAGAGCTTTTCTTTGATTTGATGGCTTTTTTTATAGTATTTCTCATTCGCACGGTATAAACAGCTATTGGCTATTGAAAGGCAACTCAGTATTTAACTAATACTGTAACTCTTTTTTCCCTTCTTCATAAATCACTTATATGGTCTTGGCCAATTATTCAGAAGAAGCTAGTTTCATTTTTGGAAATATTTGATTGGCTTGTGCTAATTTTAGCATCTCAGACAGGTAAATGAGGGTTGCTTGCGCATAATCTTTATGTTTATTTAATTGGGTTAGAAAAAGTTATAAAGTTTTTGTTTGATGTATTAGTGTGTATATTGTTGATTTTAAAGTTGGCTTCGCTAAATGTAAACTACATCTTTCTGTACAAGCTCAATTAAATCTTTTTACTTCTCTAAATTGTTTTTTTAAGCTGGTTTTTTTGTCAAAAGTACTTTCAGCCAAACAGACAACATTTTAAACAAAGGAGCTTTGACCTTCAAGAAGTGCTGCTTATAGGCTTTAGATAAGCCCTTCCAAACACACCCTTAATGTTTGTCCAATTTTCCAGATTCGAGTTCAGCTTATAGTAATTGCTAGGTTAATGGAAGTTTGATTGCAGTGGCGTGACATTTGGGGGGTTTTTCAAATTATCAGGCACAATTTTGCAATCAGTTTTGTTACAGCTCGAGTGTTGAATTGAATAAGAGTTGTCAAAACAGACTGACTTATTGCAAGAGATCTTATGCTTGTAGTGATAAGTAAACAACTGCATTATTCTTAACAATTTTGCCATTTTATGCTGTTCAATGAGAGGCCAGTTGTGAATTTGAATGATAGAGTCCTTCGGTTTATTTTTATTTATGAATAATGCCATCTAGCATTATTGGTATTAAAACACCAATCTAAGTATCAACATCACACAGGTTTTATTAAATAGACCATAATTCCTTGTATTTAAATGAACATATAATTTAATTGCTGCCACCTGTATTAATGTTAAACATCACTGATGTTGAATAGCATTACTCTTTTTTTTATATACCAATAATTGACCCTGGCATATTTTCACAGGCGTCTTTGGTTGAGAAGTACAAAAGGCCTTTGCCAAAACTAAGGAACATGACACCGGATTCTAGCGGATATGAGGAGAGGCCTGCTCCTCTCGGAACCCTAAATGTGGCGCAAATACGTCAAATCATCCTGCTACATCAAGGCAAGGCTGACGATCATGATGGTCCTATGGATATTCCTCAAATTGCCAAGAGGTTCAATGTCGATGCTGTACAAGTTCAAAGGATCATCCAGTTTACAGCACTGCCTCCTGAGGACAGTTTTAAAAGGAAAGACAACCAATGACCATAGTATTCATATTTTAGTTTTTCTTTATGAATCAGCCTTTTGCACGAGGAAAATATGTTGTGGCAATTTTTTATTTATTCAATGCTGGTAATTGTGTTGTTTTCGTAGAAAATCGTGGTTATACTCATTTTCGAGTTTTGCATAAGCTAATCTCATTTGGTAGGAGGATTAGAGGATGTGGACTGTCATGTTCGACACAACCTACCAAATACACGAAGTGTGAAATAAAGAGAGATTGTTATCAACAAGTATGAGATATTGAAATAATCAAGAATTCCTCTGCTCAGTCATTTTCCTTCTTGTTGATTGATATCTCAAAATTTGCACGAAATTAATGATGATATCAGGTTAATAGATTCAAATAGAATTTGAAATTATACATCTTGTC